CCCCCCCCCATCAAATATTAATGTATTTGCCCCTGAAACTTGGATAATGGTCTACTACCGATTTCTTAGCATTTTTTGTAGTGAGAGAAACATTATTCTCAAAACGATAAACTATAGGAAAACACGAACAAAAATTGTTTTGAACATGCACTGTTTTTCCTCCAGTTATACTGCTGTCCTCAGTATGAACGCTTCGTTAAGTTTGAACTTGCGCAGAGGAGCGACGCGGCTCATTTAGCGGACGAGATGATTGACATCAAGCCCCACCCACCATACGGGACCAAAGCTGCGAGACGTGCAGCGAAGGAAAGAGCCGCGGAGCGTGCGCGGGAACGCGAGATGGAGAGGCAACGTGCAGCTGGTGCTAACCCAACAAACTTCTATGCATGTAAGTGTCACAAATCCAACATGTTGAGAGTGCGTTTCGATTTAGCGTCGTAAATGGAAAACCAAAGTAATCGCAGCATTTGACTTTTTCAGACGTTCAGTTGGTATAAAGGAGCGTAACATTGAGCTGTGCGTTACTTAGTTGCGGCGGAGCGGAAAATAGAGGGAGGTTGGGTCGGGTCGCGTTAAGACCCAATCCTCCCTTTTTTTTTTCCACCCGTCCCAAGCCTCTCTCCTCTTTTCGCTCCGCCGCTACTATTACACCCTTACTTGTGAGCTTTGTTTTCCTTACGAGATGCCTGGGACGGGCTATTCTAGCAGCCAATCAGCGTTAACTTAAAGTGAACACAAACAAGCGCGGGAAAACGCGTGTGAGGAAATGCTGGGAGTATTTTGGACAAATCACAAAATAAAGTAAAGCAAAATTAAAGCACACACAGATTACTTTCGAAGTTCAATCTCAACTGAAATTACTAGATGAGGATCTGTGGAACCCTCCCCTAGAACTGCTTATGACCTCCTATAAAATGGGTTTTGTATTTTTTTTTCTCAGAACTACTCAGCATTATAACTATTTACCGTTTTCTTTCCTTTTTAGTAACACGTCAGATGAAGACCATTACATATTCTTTGGCCTCTACAAAGTGTATGGAGGAAGGTTGGACGGTTCGACCGCCATCGCCGTCACTCTCGGATAACGAACAAATACAAGATCCGTTTGTCATCGAAGTGAATCCTCTTCAACTCGTAAGTGCCAGTCTGAAGCAGTTTTTAATTAAATGTCAAAGGTAATTCGTTCTTGCAATGGTTTTACATGTAATTTTCTTCGCAACTTGATTGGTCTGCAAAAACTTTGGCGCTCCTTTTTTGACCAATCATGTGCAAGCTAATTGCGACCTGGTAATCCGCGTTTTCCCGCGCTTTGCTCATTTTGTTTGTTGTCGAGATCCCATTGGCTCCTTGTGATATTTCCTTTAGTTCTAATTGGCTGTACTCCGACCTCATATCAAAAGTCGTGCGCATGATGGTCCGGATGGGGGAAGTCTTGTAAAGGGTTGTTTTAAAGGCCTTCTGTTTCAACAATCTAGCATCACAAAAAGTCACTGACAATTTTTTACCCAAGTGAAACCTTGCTTCGAGTTGTTTTGTGGTCGAATATGTTACATCTGGTTAGCAGTGAGGTTTTTTGGCGTAAGACCTCAAGCAGGGTTAGTCAGTTGTTTTTTGACCCAGGCGGGGACCGGAAAATAATGCAACCACTTCTGGCGCACTTGGCATCAACTGGTCAACGAGGAAGCTCTAGTTTTAGTATTCTTAACTTAAATTTACAGACTTAAGATATGTGCCCAGTTATATAAAGGGCGGAGAACGCTATCCAAAGGATAAATCGCTATCTAGCGAGTAAATGATAGCAAAACGTGCTGTACTATCCACTGGGTAAAGGTTTTTCAAGTGCACAGCGTTATCCAACCTGGGAACAACCGGGGCCTGTTATAAGCCCCTAAAAGAGAACTGTCAACTTCCAGAAACGTGTGCTCTTAACTTTGCCAAGTGTTCTGGCTTAATAATCTGTATTATGTTCTGAAAAGATGCTAAAAATATTTCTACTTTCCTTTGTAGAGGAAGCAGACATTTCTGGAGAGATTTTACGAGAACAAAAAAAGATTTCTTCTGCTTCTCCCGGATGGCACTGGAACTTGCTTGTATCCTCTCATGAAACCTGAGTGTTCAAACTCACTAATGAAAATAGTAATTTATAAAGTAGGGGGAAATACTTAAAGCCACAAGAAGTTGATGTCTGAAAATAGATAGATTTAAGACAACAACAACAACTACAACTTTATTTTTTTCACCCCAAAATATACAAGAAAGAAAAATTTATAATAATAGTACAGACAATGATAGGGGCGCTGACTGAACGAAATAACCTAAGAGTTAAAAATGCCAGGCAGCCATTTAAGGGGTGAAATATTAATAAAAGATGTCCTTCGCGTTAAATAGTCCTGCGATGTGTCGCCCGCTTTCTTTCTGGGTTTCAGGCTAATCCTCTACACCCTAAAATCAGTATGCATATTCTCCATACTGTTCTCTATACATTTCCTAAGGTGCTGACAAGGAGAATTTGTTTAACAATCGAGAGCTTCTTCAGTTGGCGATCATTTCCTTTATTCTCAGAACCTTAATGTGTGATTTAGGGGTTATATTGTAGAGAGAGACTGGATGCCAGTCATTCCTTGAGATTAAAGGATTAAAAGCCTCGTGTGGTTCCTCTTATCAATAATTAAATCCAAACATACGGCTTTTATTTTTCTCTTAACGGCATTGTCCAGTTATCCTAGCGGTAACATTGCGGTAATGATAACTGCTGCTGAAAAAGGAAAATTTACGTACATCGTATTCGATGTAAGTCCATAGTGCAACAATATTAGCATCCTAAAAAAAAAAAAACAAATAATTTGTTTCATTTGAGATGAAACCAAACTGGTGGGTTTCAATAGCGCCATGAAAGCTAGTTCAAACTCCTGTTACTCCTCTCCCACTTCAATTGTAAATGGGGAAGAAGCAATAGGATTTTGAGGCAGCTTGTACTCAGTGCGGATCGATTGATAACTTAGCCATCTGGTTAGTTTTCAATTGTAAATGGGGAAGAAGCAATAGGATTTTGAGGCAGCTTGTACTCAGTGCGGATCGATTGATAACTTAGCCATCTGGTTAGTTTTCATACGATTTAACTTCACCCGTTTACAGCGTACATTTCACTAGTGCAGTTTTCCAACAGGAGACTGCGTGAGGTTGTTAAATATTCAGTAAAGAAATGAGAATTTGCTTGATTTCGCTTCAATCTGTGTTCGTTGTTTGTCTTATTGATTACGCAGAGATAACCAAAAAGTAGAGTATTACTGTGTAGACAAGCTATATTGACGTTTTTCCTGTTCTGCCCGCAGGACGAAGAAGAAAACGAATCAAATCCATCACACATGTTGGGAATATTTGAGCCCTCTGGACATGGAACTTGTTACTTCAGAAACGGATCAATCAGGTTGACTTTCTTTTTTTAAAATGCTCTTCTTGCCGCTATTCTTTTCATTGTTTTAGGATGACCACAAACTTATACTGATAACAGTCACGGTAACGATTTCGGTAGCGGTAACGATGACCATATTGTTAACGCTAATGACGGTAACGATAACGGTAATAATAATAAATTAATAATAACTTTTATTTATATAGCGCTCATATCTTAAATTCATGGCGCTAAATGGCGTAATGACGGTAACAATGGTAACGGTAACGATGGTAACGATCACGTTAACTATGAAAATGACGTAATGGCGTAATGACGGTAACGATAACGGTAACACTGGTAACGGTAACGATGGTAACGATCACGTTAACTATGAAATTGACGATAACGACGATGGTGATGATGACGGCGATTTTGGAACACTGTAGTAATAACAATGAAAGTAACTGTACCGTTCACGGAAGTGAAAAAGCACCGATATAGACAGTGATGATAATGGTGATAACAGTAAAATTAACCAGAACAGGAGCCCATTACCCGGAGCTTCCATCTCAGTTGTACCCTTGAGTCAACCCTGTCCCGTATATTTTTATTTTTACAACTGAGATATCTGCGGGGGTTCTTTAATCTTTCCGCGCTTTCCGCCATTATTGAAATAATTTCGTGCAGCCTGCAAGTGACACAATAGAGACGTAACACAATAGAGACGACAGCTCTCTTATGATTGGCTATTATAAAAACACCCGCGAAAACCGCCGTGGGAGGTGTTTCTAAAAATAAAAAGATACGAGACAGGGTTGGCTTAGAGGGTCAGTTTGGAAGATGGAAGCTCTGGGTAATGGGCTCCTGACCAGAATAATAATAGTAATTTTTATGGTGTGAAAAATTGCTTTCCATTGTATTTAAGTCCTGGTCTTTTTAGTAAACAGATGATGGATCTTGAAATAAACAATGAAACATTCCTTTATCAATTCATTTTATGATAACGATAAGATTACTCTTTAGACATGGTATGTTACACTTTATTTACCTTTTTTCTTGGTTTCTGCGTAGACTTGTGCTCAATCCATTTTTCGGAGTTCTTTTGGACAAAAACGGAACTCAGAAGAAGAAATGGCTGTGGCATAACACGAAAGAACATGTGCATGCTCCACCTTTTCAACCAATCACTTTTCTGATCACCAAACAGCTGTCAATCAGATGTCTTTCACAGGTCAGAGGTTTTAAAGTTTGATGGTTTTCCCAAGGTGTAGAACCGAAATGTAAAATGTTTTTAAAAGGATTATGTTTTAGCAGGACAACACTTAAACAAGATGAAATTCATAGTTTGTCAGTTTCGCTGCGGTTAAATTCTGAATCACGAGATTGGCGCGGTCTCGACAGTTAATGCTAATAGCTCTTTTTTACATTTCAGAATAAAGTTGTTCTTACCTTCAATTATGGGAAACATACAGCTCGCTTTAATGTTGGAGTAAAACTTAAGGTATTTACTCTTAAAAAAAAACTGACCTAAACTTTTCATAAATCAGTGGTAAGTTGTAAGACTGAGTCTGATAAATTATAGTTAGTGAATTATTTTAATCAGGGATTTTTCAAATGTGACGTCTTATTACAGAGAACGTACAGGTTTCAACTTTTTTTTTTCACTCCAGTGAACTAAATAACTAAGCAAATAAAAGGGACTTTAAGCAAACCACGACGTCGACGGCAACGAGAACGTGGCGAAACAATAGATCTAATTGGCAGAACAATAGCCCAGCACGTGCGTTTTAAAACTTTGTACATTTCTTAGCCGTCTTTTGCAAAACAACAACGTGAAATCACCAAAACTTGCGTCGTCTGCGAAGCGAAACCGCGGCGGCAAATTATTTTAATTTACATTTGGAACTCAACGCTACTTTTATGCGTTATGTTGAGTTTGAGGTCTGGCGCCCTATGAGACGGTAAACACATGCAGCCATTTTGGAAATTCTAGCTAAAAGAAGAAACTCATTTTTTAAACGACGTCTTCCATGGCGTTGCCGTTCTGACTGCTTAAAGTCCCTGAAGTCCTTCAAAAACTTAGCTTTAGGCCGTATCTACACCAGAGAGTTTTCTGTATTGTTATTGAGCAAACAATTTCTCCCTCCACTAGTGAAGTTACTGAAAAAAACTTGTTGATGTAATTTCGACATGGATACAATTACCAAGTGGGTGAGAAAAGTAATCGTCGTTGGTTTAGGTTTGCTTAACTTCGCCCAGTGATTGGTTAAGAAAACAATCAGGTACAAAACTTGAACCAATCCCCTCTCGGTCACCCTCGTTTTCCCGCGATTGAGGCAGGGTGCTCGTTTGAAATTTGAGTTCTCATTGGCTCTTAGTGACAATTTTTTTATGTGAGAATTAAGTGAGAACTTTGTCCATTTACGATGACGTCAAACCCCGAAGTATACAGCTTGTGTACAGCAGCCCCCACCGTCCCCCTTCTCAAAAAAAAATCGACTCGTTTTATTTGGAAAATGGTGGTCAGCGGTACACCAGCTACAAATGTAGTACACGATACAATAGGAACGTCGACATACACAAATGAGAGTTGAGTTGCAAGACAAGAGGAAAACTTGTTCTGATCTTTTCTTGTCTTGCTTTGTTATTTAGGCTGTTGCTAAAGCGAAGCCTCCTACGAGTAGAGATAGATACGAGATGCACCTGGCTGAAGTCAAACAGTTTGTAAAGTAAGTACCGTGTAGCCCGTTCTAGCCCTTCTTTCAGTAAAACAATATTAGGCTAAGTTTTTTTTTCAGAACAAAATCGAAACAGTGCAATATCGGATTAAGCGAACCTTCCTAACCAAGTTCGTTCTGTACCAGTTTGTTCGAAAGCTGTGCACCCCTTCAGACAAAAAGAACTCTGATTCCTTAGGGCAGTGTATTCTTATCTTGTTTCACGTAGCTATTAATTTCTTTAAATATCGCTGCGTTATTTTCTCTAGCATTGTTTTAGATCGCGCCCAGAATGCCATCCGTCTTCCCAACTACCCTCGACTTGACAAGATACCTCTGCCGCCTCACCTGCAGAAAGCAAGGGATGCTGGGAGAAAGGCGCGATTACTAGCTTCCACTCCCAGTAGTCAACGGGAGACGACTGTTATTGTGAACTAGCTATCAGTCATTCTCACAACGGACGTAGACAGGAAAAAGTTCCAGTCCCCCTCCTAACATCTTGACGTGGACCAGTTGTGGCAATCACTTGTTCATATGCCGAAATGTCTCTCTCAATTTACTCAAAAATGGACTCTTTCTTTGTTTTCTCCATTGTTCTTCTATTTTTAAGTTAATCTTATTCCCAGGTTCTTCGTTCTTTTTGGTCAGAATTTACAGAGATCATCCTGGGAACAAATAAACACGCAAACAACTGTCTAACATAATATAACTAGCCAAACACAATGGAAAATCATCAAAATAATTTATTTTTTACACTTTTCTACAGTCTATTCATATAACTTTCTTTAACTGAAAAACCGACAGTACTTCTACTACAATCATTAAATATGGCTTTGAAATATATGAAACAAAATATATACTCTCTCTTTAACAAAAAGCAATAATTGCACGGGAACCCAATCAACCCACATTTTTAAGTTTCTGACGAATTTATTTTTAAGCACATCAAACTCTAGATATTCCTCCCTATTTATGTTTCTTTTGAAGCAGAATTGCGCTATCAACTGAACCACGTTTCCAGGATCACTCTTCTTCCCATGGGAGAGAGAGACTGGGAATGTTATGCTTTTTGAGTTTTCCGGCGCTTTCTGGCGGTTCTACTCTCACAGCTATATATTTTATCAGCTTTTGCGATGTTTTCGTAACTTATAGAATTATTTCCATGCGACTTTTAAAATTACATTCAGCGCGACGGAAACAAAAAATTCTGGAAGGAAAAGATAGGTAAACAGTAAAAGGGGAAAATTAATTGAAACAGAAACGAGGATGGTACAGGTAAAAGAAGTCCATCAGAAGGTTCGTCACTGTTTGGATATAATTTGCTTGTGTCATAACTCAACTTTCTGTCCACGAACATATATCGCTGCCAACTTGCACTTCACCAGAGAGAGATCTTCACTTGGTGAATCTTCCCAATTCTTTCACGTCATATTTATCATTTACCAAAATATTCCTTATAGACACATCTGGCTTGTAATTTTATTTCCATATCTCTGTGAAAGTTTGCGGTGCGTTCCTTTGCATCCAGAGCATCAACGAGTCAGAACCTCTACTGAACTGCCGTCTACAAGTCTGCGTACAGGCGTTGAAGAGAAATGGGAGATTTTTAATGCCAAAGATGGAGGCTGGGGCTTTAATTAGCCTTACTCCGGGGCCAAACATTGGACCATCACAACAGTCACAGCGAGTATAACTGAAAAAAAAAAAAATAATATAACAGCTATTGACAGATTTGATTCACAAGCAATTTGGTTCTTCTTTCGCGGACGGGACGCCAGACTATAGTGGGCAATTGCCGGCGATTCACCAAGAAGCCATAACACTTCACTGGTACCCACTCCCCCTCCTGGATGATAAGAGGTACCCTGAGAAAACGACGTCTTACTCTGGAGCGCAACAAAATAATCAAGCCAAGTCTAAACATACGATGCCACAACTCCTACGCACATGTTACATGGCTGCAATAAAATCGCATTCATTCAAATTTTTTTCTGAATTCTTTGTAGCTCTCATGGAATTTACGTGGAAATTAAGAACTTTTAGCTGCATATCGTTCAATGAATCAAAAAGAAAATACTTTTTCTGCTGTGATTTCTAGATTTTAAGAAGAGAAAAAGTAACTGGTGTCACACGCCAATAGCACTCGCGCGCGTGCGCGCGAGACCGAAATTAGAAAACAACGAGGGAGTTTGTTACGTGCAAGATGTTGGCATGCACGAGTTTTCCAGTTTTTTAAACATTTTTCTGCCAACAAAAGCTGGGTCTACCTAAGCTAGTATCAACATCAGCAAGGACAATCTTACCTTTCTAGAATATTTTTGATTTCTGGCGGTAAATCGCGATTTTTAATATGTAGTCCTTGACCAAACACAACTAAAGCTGCCAGGTCTCCGAGACGCTGCAACGGAAAACAAATCAAACTCAAATTCAGAATGTATAGCCTAAGATTTACAAAGTGAAATTAGCTTCTCGTAAAAACTGTAAAATAAATGTCAATTTTAAAAGTCCAAAATCATGAAATGAAGTTACCAGGCGTAATGTTAGATACCAAGCTTAAATTTGATGCACATGTTGCACCCGTGTGTCGCAAAGTAGGAGGGCAGGTAATTGCGCTAAATAGGCTTAAAAACATTCTTCCGTGCAAAGTTAAGGAATTATTGTATCGAGCGTTTGTTCTGCCTCATTTTTATTACTGCAGTCAGATATGGCATCATTGTGGCTCGAGAAACACGACGAAAATAGAAAAAGTAAATGAGTGCGCATTAAGATACGTTTACAAAGATAAAACATCAACATATCGTAAACTGCTAAAGCGAGTAGGTTTAGAAACCAAGTTAGAAAACCGTCGTGTCCAGGACATGTTAATAACCATAAACGCTTGTTTTCAAGGCACCGCACCCTCATGCATTGAATAACTTGTTAAAATAAGAAATAATAAGTATGATTTAAGGGGCATTAATATGCTATCGATACCGAATGTAAATACCACAAAGCACGGATTGAACTCTTTTAAATATTTCACCGTAAAACAATGGAATGGGATTCCAAACGAATTGCGCTTAAAAGCTGGAAGCAGAGAATTTAACAAACAAGTGAGGAACATTACATTTTAGTTACTTAAATTTTCCAATTTTAGTTTTTAGATATTTTCATTTTCTCAGATATTTATAGTATTTTAGATATCTTAACTTAGTTTATATATATATATAAATAATTATACTTCAAGAATTAGGTTACTTGAACTTTTACCGCAACTCTGAGTTTCATGCCTCTTGCGAAGCAATCGTCAGGCAACTGCCAGAAATAACGGTTACAATCCGTTATTTCTGGCAGTTGCCTGACGATTGCTTCGCAAGAGGCATGAAACTCAGAGTTGCAGTAAAAGTTCAAGTAACCTAATTCTTGAGGTATAATTATATATATATATATATATATAACTGCAGACAGTGCACACTGTTTCGACCTATGTGGGTCTCATCAGTGCAGTGCAGACACTGGGCCAAGCTCTGGAATAAACCATTGCCTGGGCGCTACACTTGTGGGACCAAGTGCAGACATGTTGCCATGCGAGAGTGCTCAAATCACAACTAAGGTGATGAGCTTCGCCCGAAGGCTAAGTGCATGGCAACCCCAGTGTAGAGTGCTCAATCGCAAGGTAGCCAAAAGGCAAAGCCAAGCGAGAGCTATCTAACTGCAGACAGTGCACACTGTTTCGACCTATGTGGGTCTCATCAGTGCAGTGCAGACACTGGGCCAAGCTCTGGAATAAACCATTGCCTGGGCGCTACACTTGTGGGACCAAGTGCAGACA